ATCTCCAGGTTGTCATAGCTCCCGTTGTCGATGACGTCATCGGAGAACTTGACCTGCTGGGGCCTGGACTGGGACTTGGATCTTCGGAGCACTGGCAGGTGGACTGGTTTCTCCTCGGGCATGATTTTCTCTGGGCACAGCTCTGAACCGAGGCTCTTTAAGGACTCGGCGCTCCGGTGCAGCATGGAAGAGTTCAGAGTCCCCATGTTGCTCATCTTCTCACAATCTTCTGCCTCTATCTCCTCAAAGTTCTGCAGAGAATATAAGGATGGCCTTGGCTTACTTTCTCCATCCACTGAAGCCCCTACGAGAAAAACCAAGACAAGGTGTGAGTCTCAGTGACCCTAATAGTCTGACAATTATTACAAACAAGCTACTGAAAGGAAGCATTTCAAAGAAAATTCTCCTCAATTTCAATATGTGATTACCACCCACCAAGTAAACGCAACACTGCATATAAAGAGAGGAGGTATGAATTTATTACTGACCCAAGGGCACAGCCTTTCTTAGGAGTCCAGTTGTGTTGGAGCCAAACACTAGTTACAGAACATGGCATGAACAGCAACAATGTAAAAGCTCTTCATAAAAATCTCATGATTAGCCCTAGCTGGTTTGGCTCAGTGGATAGAGTGTCGGCCTGCGGACTGAAGGGTCCCAGGTTTGATTCCGGTCAAGGGCACAGGCCAGAGTTGTGGGCTCGATCCCCAGTGTGGGGCGTGCAGTAGCTGATCAATGATTCTCTCTCATCACTGATGTTTCTCTCTCTCTCTCTCTCTCTCCCTCTCCCATCCTCTCTGAAATCAATAAAAATTTATTTTAAAAATATCTCATGATTACAGTGGGGCCTTGACTTACGAGTTTTATTCGTTCCGTGACGGAGCTCATAACTCAAATTACTCGTATGTCAAATCATAAAGTGAACGAGTGAGACACGTGATGCTGGGCTGATGTTGTGGCGTTCACTGTGACGTTCACTGCGCCAACTAGCGGTGGGGTATCTGAAGCTGGCTCGTAACCCGAATTTTAGCTCGCAACTCAAAGCAAAAAATCGGCCGAGAGACGGCTCGTATCTCCAAAAACTCGTTAGTCAGAACACTCGTAAGTCAAGGCCCCACTGTACTTTATTCACATGACATGGAGGAATTCTGCCTCTCAATCCATTAAAGCCAGATTGCTTCACCTGAGCATCTCCATCAGTCCCTTCCTTTGCATCCACATGGCCACTGTTATCGTCCTCCTCTTACACCTACACTCATTTTCCTCATTGCATACCGAGACTGTGGTCAGCAAGCCACAGCCCAAGGGCCACATCCGGCCCACAGCCTATTTGTGGATAGAGTTTCATTGGAACACAGCCACACCTACTCATTTACGTATTATCTATGGTTGCTTTCCACAATGGCAGTGCTGAGTATGTGCAACAGAGGCTGTGTGGCCCAGAAGGTCTATCTAGCCCAGGGGTGGGCAAACTTTTTGACTCGAGGGCCACAATGGGTTCTTAAACTGGACCGGAGGGCCGGAACAAAAGCATGGATGGAGTGTTTGTGTGAACTAATATAAATTCAAAGTAAACATCATTACATAAAAGGGTACGGTCTTTTTTTTTTTTTTAGTTTTATTCATTTCAAACGGGCCGGATGCGGCCTGCGGGCCGTAGTTTGCCCACGGCTGGTCTAGCCCTTCACAGAAGAAGTTTGCCAGCCCCTCTCCTAGACTGCCATCCAGTCTTCTTCCCCTTCAACCCAGGAAATAACATGTCACCTCCAGATTAGTCTTACTTTGAAACTTTGATACTGTTCCCCCTTTTTAAGAGGGCCCAGGCAAGTAAAGATAAATGAATACCCAGCAGACAGGAAGTGACAGTAAGGACAGGTGTGGACTGGTGTCTAGTAGGTACTACATAACTTCCTACTTTCTAAAGGGAGCCTAATTCAGTCTGTATTGTTAAGGAATGTCTAGCCCTAACACTTTGTGTACCAAATGATGTCTATTTTTTGATAAACGTTAAACTCCTAATATAGGACCTAAAACACAGGAGATGCTAATCCTGGCCAGTGTGGTTCAGTTGATTGGAATGTCGTCTGTGCACCAAAAGGGCACATGCCCCAGTTGCAGGTTTGATCCCGGTAGGGGGCATGCAGCTGGCAGCCAATCAGTGTGAGAACACTGATGTTTTTTTCTCTCTCTCCTGCTCCCTAAAAATTAATTTAAAAATCTTTAAAAAATTTAAAAACAAAACAGGAGGTGCTTCATAATTTAGTCTCATCCACCGCTGCTCAACTCCCCTTTGACAAGTCCAACAGAAACCGGGGGGTCGCTGGCTCACCCCTCCTTGCCGCTGCAGCACCTGGCACAGGGGCATTCCTGGCGGCGGGCAGCCGCTCAAGCCTTTCCTGTCTACATTACGGAAATGTCACCTTTATGAAAGGACTGGATGTCATTTGTCTCACTATAACTAGCCAGGTAACATTTTTGCATCCAAAGACAATTATTGCAAATATGAGATACAGGAGGGAATCTGGGTTCCAGGCTTGATCTTGCCTTTAAAAACCTCTGTGCAGTTAGGCATTTAGCCTCTGGTAATTCAAGTTCTTCATTTAGAAAATGCAGTAATATCCACTCTCTACAGCTCAAGGTCATTTTAAGGATACAATATGGATAACTGATAGGAATGTGCTTTGAAAACATTACAGTGAAATTATTTTATATTCTGGGTTAAAAACTATTCAGCTATTTTTGAGCTATCTGTTGCCACAGGGCAATGCAGGGAAATACAAAAAATGTTATGAGCTTATAAAGTGGCAGACTGATTTTAATAACTTGAATTTTATACAGTACAATCCAAAGAGTACAGTATCTTTCAGACACAGATACAGACTCCATTATTGAAGTAAGTCAGTTTCTTCCTCTTTAAAAGTGTAATGAACCTGGCCGGTGTGGGTCAGTGGTTGAGCGTTGACCTATGAATCAGGTTACCATTCAATTCCCGATCAGAGCCCATGCCTGGGTTGCAGGCTCAATCCCCAGTGGGGACGTGCAGGAAGTAGCTAATCAATGATTCTCTCTCATCACTGATGTTTCTATTTCTCTCTCCCTCTCCCTTCCTCTCTGAAATCAATAAAATATATATATTAAAGAAAAAGAGAATATATCTATTAAGAATATGTATGAATATACATATGTGTGTGTGTACATATATGCACACACATTTGCATGTTTGTTTTGCTATACGGTGTTTGGCATTGGATGAGACTCCTTCCTTCCCTTGGTCTCCAGTTTTAATTAATGTAGCCCCTCCTGGCGCTGAACGGTAAATTTTCACAACAGACTTTTTAGTGGCTCTTTTTCCAAACACCGCATAATCCCTAGATTACGTACCTGTGATGTTAGACAAAGCCAAAGAATCCATAGAATCCCGGACGCTCTGCTCCGGTTTCAAGTCTGACAAGCACTCCAGGGAATCTTCATACCATTGTGCTTGATCATGATTGTATCCCGAGGCCCCATGGTCCAGATCCAGCTCCTGGAGCCTTCTGCTGCTTGCCGGGCCTGGGTGGCTGCCGTACGCAGAATCTCCCAGGCCATCTTGGGACTGTGCCCAATACATATCAGATTGGTATTTTTTACTCGCGAGGCTCTGGTTATTTTGCTTTAACTCGGCCTTATTTTTAACCATGTTATCAGATATCCAATGCTCACTGGCTCGAATATCGATCTCGTTGGGCTGCTGCTGAAAGAGGCTTTTATCACCAAACTTGAGGAGGAGCTGCGTCATATAATCTTCATGCTCGGCCCATTCTTCGGGGTCTTCTGGGGTTTCGTGCTCGACTCTGCCTTTCCAAAAGTCTTCATTGACAAAACCTGCTCCCTGCCTGGACAGACTCAGGTCATCCAGCTTCCGGGAAAGGGTGTCGTCGGCATTGCCTGAGAGGCCAGGGAACTTGTAGTTGAGAGCAGGGGACAAGAGGAGAGACTGTCTGCACTGGTCCGCTGACCGGCTGCTTTTGCCCATCCGGACACTTCTTCTGGAGTCTCTCGACCGGGCGGACTGAAACGCAGAGTCGGAGGAATCGGAGGCGTGGACGTCTTCACCGAGGCTGCACGTTTTTGAGCAATAGATCTGACCTTGTTTGGGGAGGAAGGGACACCCCAGCAGAGAGGCTTTGCACTGGGCACAGGAGAAGCAGGCTTCTGTCGCGTGCCAGTGCTGCCCGTCGTAGGTCATCTGGGCGTGGTCCACACCTGTTTCGAAAAAGGATAGAACAACAGGCGATAGTTCAACGTTGAGACAAAGGGAGAAGGAAGAGATGGAAAGAGGGGTGATGGGAATGTTCTGCTTCTTGATAGGGTTGTGGGTCACACAAAGTCCGTATCTGCGAATTGCCTACCTGCTAAAATTTATTTGTAACCCCCAAATCAATACTTGCAGTTTTCAAGGTCATTTGCAGACATGTGCAGAGGGGTGAAAAGTTTGAGTTGACCAACATATATGCTCCCAGGTGAGGTCAAACAAGGTGACCCTCTGCCTTTGTCTCTGCTCTTGTGCTTTCAACAAGTGGCATATTCGTGGTCTACTTATACCATGTTTTCTTTAGATTTTTGTACTTTTTGGGTGCTTTTGCTATTTAAAAGGCCCTCAAGCATAGTGCTGAAATGCTGTTTAGTGATCCTAAGTACAAGAAGGCTGTGATCTGCCCTACAGAAAAAAATACGTGTGTTAGATAAGCTTCAGTCAGTCACACGGCACAGTGCTGCTGGCTGCAAGTTCAATGTTAATGAGCCAACAATATATGTGACTAGGGGCGGGCAGGAACCTATCCCTGTATTTCCCCTAGGAGCAATGCTCGGTATTCTGTAAGTCAGGCAACTTTGTAGAAGGCAAATCCCTCAAACGAGAATGGATTCTATATTCATTTGTCAAGACTCATAAAACTGAAACATTTAAGATCTGTACATTTCACTGTATGTAAATTATACCTCAATTAAAAAAAAAACAACAGACTGTGGAGAATCCTAAAGGCTGATGGGAAGGAGCCTGAGCAGACAGGCCGGGCTGTGACTCACCGATGTGCTCGCCGCAGGTCTCGCAGTACTCCGCATACAGAGACTCGAAGCAGCCACAGCAGAACGGGCGGCCGTCCTTCATGATGTACCTCTGCCCTCCCAGGACCGTCTCACACTCAAGGCAGCAGAAGTGCTTCATGTGCCAGTGGCGACCCTCCGCTTCCGTGCACTCATCCGCAAAAATTATCTGTAAGAGGAATGTGAGAGCAGAGGATGACAGGAAATACTGTGAGCTATTTCCAAGGCCACGTCGCTTCGATGGCTAACCTTGTTTCTTACAGCCCCAAGCTTTCCTCTACCACGCTTTAGCTATAAAACAAGAGCAGTCATTGAAAATGTGAAAAAAGAGAACCTAAGTGCTTGTTCAAACTTTATAAATGTCCAACCCCTATGCTGTCCACCTGAAACCAATATAATAGTGAATGTCAACCATAATTGAAAAATAAAACAGATTTCTTCATTGGAGATAATTAATTTGGTCATTATTTGGCTCCCCAATCGCATTTTATTGGCATAATCTGGCAAAGAAGACATTAACATTGAAATGATTTAGTGGTCTGTGTTTTAATAGAAAACTCATAAAAATGTCTGTGGAGTCAACATTTACAGCAATCCAGACGCTGGGCTGTGTGAGCTACACTGTATAGCTGCTGCTTCGCTTGACCTGGTGGCCATCGGCAGACTAAAGACTCCATTCTTTTCATTTTTGGTTTCAAAAAAATTTTCAAATATCACATTATTGAAAAAAAAAGCAACTTTAAAAAAACCCAACTCAAACAAATGTATAAAGAAAAAACTGAACATTCACTGTCGCTGAGTGAAGGAGACTCAGGAAAAACACACACACACACACACACACACACACAAATTTTATATATATATAATATGCAATGAGGTACCCTGGATTGGATCTTAGAATAGAAAAGACACATTAGTAGCAAAACTAGAAATCTAAATAAAGTGTACAGTTTGGTTGATGGTATAACAGCAATATTAGCTTCTCAGTTTCAATGCATATAACGCTGTGGAAGATCCTAACAACAGGGAAAGCTGGGAGAGGGTGTAAGGACCTCTAACACCTCCAACTCTTCTGTCAATCTAAAATGACTTTAAAATAAAAAGCTTAAGAAAAAAATTCCTTTCACACCACCATCCCTTCCCACATGCCCCACAGGTAACCACTGTTAACTGGATGTATACAAACAAGTGTACGGTCTTGGTTTGTCCCCCCTTTCCCTCCCAGGAATGAGATCATCTGCTCCACTCCTCTTGCCACTTGTTTTTCCCTCCCATCCGTCAAGAGCCTCCCACTTATCGATGCACAGACACCTGGGCCCGCTCTTTATTTTGCTTAGATGTGAACAGTGGAATATTGGCCGACTGGGAGCTTATTTTTCCCAGTGTTAAGGGGTGAACTTTTTTACCTCGTCACATGCCGAGCACCGTGGTTTGAGCAGTTCAGCATGGTGCCTGCCACAGTGAATTTTTCCGTCCTGATAAAAATAGATGAGGTCCACCAGCAGCTCGTTACACGTGAAGCAGACAAAACAGGACGGGTGCCAGCACACTCCGGGGCCCGCCCGCGAGGCGAACACGGCAATCTCGCCTCCGTTGATCTTCAACCCGCACTGAAAACAGAAAGAACGATCCTCCTGCGATGACGGGATTCTTAGCCTCTCCACTTGCCACTAAATCCCAAATTTGTCAGGAAAGCTTTTTATTTTTCTCCCCCCCTGCGAGTGATTAAGTAGCTCCTTAATGCTGGATTATGTGCGATTCTCAGCTGAAATGAGCAGGCCTCCCTCAGACTTCCCCACTAGGCTGTTCCTAAGAAGGGTTTCGGCCGACGCACATTAAGGGTGGTTTTCCTGAGCCAGCCTCCTGCTGGATGCGTTTCTGATGCTGAGAGTGGTCGGTAAGGATCTGAAGGTCTTCATTATGGCTGCCTTTTGTGAACACTAGGTGTACCCTAGCACCTCCCAACCTGCCGGGACCCTAGGGGGAGCAGGAGGTCACCCGATGTTTGCCTAAGGGCAGCCCGACTCCCCGTCATACACGGCAGTGTAGCCAGTTATAAACATGAATCCCCATTCGATAAAGAGCTAGGCTGCCTGTCTTTGGCTTAGTTTTTGGAGGCCTTTGGGACCCACACATGTGCTGGCCCTGTCACCCTCCCACCCCCAGCTCACTCCACCCACATCACCACCACAGGCCGCTCATTCTAGAAAGGGCTACCTGCTCGCACACGGCGTGCATCACGGCTCTGGACAGAAGTTTGATGGTGCCTCTTCCCAGTGCTTCCTTCTTCCGCTGAGCACTGAACACTTGCAGTTCTTTCTTCTCCTCTTCGCTCAGAGACTGGCAGTACCGCACCTTCGCGGAAGGAACAGAGAAGCACCACAGTGGAGCGCGTCCCCCTCACCCGTTCTCCATTTCCAGAAACGAAGGGCTCACTTAATGGCCTGCCCCCGTGCATCGCCAGTTTAGAAATAACACCTGACCTTTCATTGACTCAAAACCTTACAGCCTCTAGCAAAAGGGAAAAGTAGTGTAAAAGAACACTCTTTTATTAAAATATGAAATGTTTAATTTCAACTCTTGTCAGCAGAGACTCTAAAACAATGTAACATATTAACCTTCCTACAAAAGGTTTAAACTTAATTGCCACGTTTGCTCTCCCTTCTGCAGGCACTCAAGTCAACTCCTGGGCCTGAACTACCGTGAGGCATTGAGCCTGGATGAAGGGGCGGGGCGATCTCAGGCACCTGCAGGCCCCTGGGCATCGGTGGGTGGCTGCAAACACTATAAAAACCAACTTGTGTTGACTGCACTGACACCCTTTTCTCGCTGAAAGAATGGAAAGCTGTATTCTCCGGCCACATTTTAACTGAAGAAAGGCAAGAGATGGGAGGAGCTGGGGTTTATGAGGGACATCTCAATGCTTCGTGTTTATTTTCTTAGCCTTCTTCCTGTTATTTTACCTCATTATCATGTGGTGGCAACTGGTACAAAAGCTGTTTAATTCGATGTTTCTCTCCAGGGCTGTTAACATACGGAACCTTTTCCTCTGGTAAGCAAGCAAAATAGAGCTGGATCTGAGGAAGAGAGGGAGAGAAAGACATAGAGAAGGTGAGCATCTTAGCTCACTCCATCTTAAAAAGTTACTTGTCCCTGCAGGGGCAAGGTTTGGCCTCTGGTGCTAATGAGAAGACCAGCTGAGCCAACTCGCACCCAGCTGCTAACTCCTCTTCAGGAATGTAATTTGCAGTGACAATTAGGGCCATCATAAATTACACGCCATAAAATATGCACATTTAACGCCACAATTCCCCAGGGTCAGCGAGAGTCCTGGGTGAATGCTACAAATGGCCACACAGGCTGCGTGACACTGTCCCAAACCCCGCCAGCACACAAGCACACTGAATTTGATCTCTGAATTTTACATGTTACAAAGACAAAAAGCTGTTTTGTTACCCTCTGTAAACTCTCCTTATCGGGTTCTCTCCAAGCATCGGCTTTCTTTGCTTCCATGGGTGTTATTTTCTAAATACCGGAGTCAATTTCCCCAAAGACACTGGAGGGGAGCCATACTGAGCTAGACCTGGTTCATTTGGAAAGGAGAACTCCATTTTTTTCTGTTTTATTTAAAGGAGCATCCCTTCATGAGTACCACAGTGCTGAGAAAGAAGGGATTCAAGAAAGAAAGACAGGAGATTGGGGAATTGGGGGCCTGCCCTGCTTCAATACCTTAGTATCTCACAAAACCTACCCACCCTAAGCTTCTAGAAGGGGTTCTTTTTTTGTTTTGTTTTTTAATATGTTTTATTGATTTCAGAGAGGAAGGGAGAGAGATAGAAACATCAATGGTGAGAGAGAATCATTGATCGGCTGCCTCCTGCACATCCCCTACTGGGGATCGAGCCCACAACCCAGGCATATGCCTTTGGTCGGAACCTGGGACCCTTCAGTCCGCAGGCTGACGCTCTATCCACTGAGCCAAACCAGCCAGGGCAGGGGTTCTTTATTAATAAGCAGTTTGTCAAAATATCACTTTCCTATCTAGTGCACAGGCACTCCACCCTCTCCCCACTATATCAGCGACAGCAGCGTTTGCAGTTATAAAAACACTGATAACACCTGGGTGCCAGGTATGACGCTAGGCCCTCGAAGAATGAGGAGCCCCTGTTCTCAAGAGAGTTTCCTCCATACAGGAAACAGCCATAACTCAAGCAACTGCACACCCAGTCGGCACCTTTTATTTCAAACTATGCCTCAGCCCATATGATAATATTTATCACCTGCAATTTTTAACAAGTTCATCATTATAAGGACATTGGGAAAATAAAAATAGGCATACAGAATGTTCTCGTCTTCCTTAAAATAACAATCCAGACAAAGCCCCAAATTAGCTCTTCGATATTAGTGTTCCATCTACACTGAGTGGTGACAGATTCTTTTATGTGCAAGGTTATCAAAGGTCAACGCAATGACACTTCAGATGGTTTCTCCCAGCTCTGCATTTCCTCTCTTCCAAAGCAAAAGCTCTGCTGAGAGCTGGCGTGGAAACTTGCCTCTTTTATTACCTTTTTGTTGCTACTGAAGTTTTTCAAAAGGTTAAATTCCTCTCATTCTCTGCAAAGGGGCTCATCAGAAACCCACATAACAAACGCATGTGCAGTGCTCTGGATTCCGATCATCAGAGCATCCTCCTAGGGCTTCTGGATCCAAGAGCCCAAGAGGAATAGAAAACTTTCATTGAGAAACCAAGTATGACCTTGAAAAGCAAAACTGTAAAACCATCCAAAGGAGAGAGAGGACTGAGGAGGGTATAGCGTGTCAGTGTGGCAGTGATGTTCTATAAATTGCTAGAAATTCTTTAAAAATCTTAACTCATTAAAAAACACAACACGGGACGACCAGGTTCCCACCTGCTCTGGTCGAAGTCCGGGGGGCACCCAGGCATACTCCTCCAGCGCACAGCCAGAGTCATCATCTGACGTGGAACTTCGCTGGCACCCAAAGGCGAGTTTGCTCATTTTGGGCTCCATCTCCAAAGGCATAGCAACGTTCAGAGGCTGGTTTTCTCAGTCACAGGACATCAAACAATGGCTGCTGTGGACAATATAAGAAAAAGCAAATTGAAAACCTGCAGGCATGGCTCTTATTGGATGCTTGTTCACATATAGCTGGGCCCTCAGAAAACACCCAATTTACTAGTTCACCGCCTCCAGCCCCCAGGCCCACTGACACTTAAAATCAGGGCTGCATAATGCAGAAATAGCCCCCTCCCAGCTCCGCATTTCAGAAGATGCCACCAAAATTAGTTTAGTCCCAGTGGTCCTTCGAAGGTGCGTCTCCACACAACTATTCATTGGAAAGGTTTAGGAAAATTGCCTTGCCTGACACATCAGATTAAACTTCCCACAAATAACATCCCTGTGAAGTCGCATGAGTTGAAAAAAGAAGTGTG